CCAAAGAATTCGAAACTGATCGCATTTAGCATTATAATATCTCGTTTAGCTAAATAAAAAATTAAACATTTAAACTGATTAAGACGAGGACAATTTTCACCAAAATAGTAAGAGACTGTTCGTGAATTACCCCTTTTACTTTTCGAGCGAAGAATAAAAAAGAAATAACTAGATTTGTGCGAATAAAAATCATCTGTTCACTTCATCTAGACTGACTGACACTGCATACTAAAGAAATGTATTTCATTTATAGCAAAATAAGGAATCTCTCGGAAACACCACTTTATGCCAATTGCTATCCCAAGAAAAACTGTCTGAAAGTCAAATGATAGTAAAGTGTTAATATTACACTCTACCCTACTCACAGGTATGAAAAAGTTCAGTCGGTAATATATATTTACGCAAATAGCAGAATACAAACGCTTGTACCTGCAAAGCTGAAATCAAATAATGATAACATATCCATGTTTTTCAGTTTCATAGCTTACCTAATCATAAGCCATGTTTAGTTTGGATGTGAGTATTCAGAGGCAACGTTTCGCAAATAACCTTCACATATGGGTCAAATGATATCTTGTGACATGGTGCGCGGAGTACTATCAACAAAAAAAACCAAGTTTTTGTACATTTGCGGGAAATTTATTGGCCCGTGTAGACAATGTACGGTATTTGACACCTGTTTGTAAACAGTACAAGAACTTAGCCAAAAAGCAGGTGACTGACGCATCATTTATTCCGGAGTTTTCGAGTGGTTAGTGTTCGATGCGAACTGCCTAGATCCATCTTCCGTAAAAGGCTAGGCAAGAGCCGAAGGAAGAAGAGACCACGAAAAATTTTATACGAGAGTTAAGCAGCCTTGGAGGACGAAGTACGAGTTAACTTGCATACGTTTTTATTTCTATGTCATTTAACGGTTTTCTTTTCTTAAGGGGGGTGTTATTTACTCTATGTACTTCACCTCATTACACTTTCTCCCTTAGTTTATGATCGTGGATCGTAAGATTAAAATCAGAGTGATCCCAGAAGCCAATCAGAACAAAGAGGGAAATCGGAAGGGGGCACTATTGAAATAACTGATAAATTGGACGAACAAGGATACGCAATGTCAGGGAAACTTTCATGTCATAGCATGGCAAATTTAATTTCTTTCTTTAAATGGTAACATGCTTGCATTGGGCCTTGTAAAACGTTTTGCCTTGCCTTGCCAATTTCTGAATTCCATTTATAACACTACAGACAAGTTGAGACAGAAAAGGATAGTTTCATCAAGGTTTCTTTATTTTTAGCACAGCTACGTAAGGATGGAAGGAAGCACCTCTCTGATACTCATTCTTCCCTTTTTGGCATTGTACATTCACAGGGTGATCATTTTGCAATGGAGACTAGAGAATTCTCCTGCTCCAATGCACAATCCCCTTGCCTAAATTTCTATTCCCAGTCTGCGCCTGCGCATGGTGACCCATCCAGCCGGTTCTTATCCTCATTTCCATGGCATGAAGCCACTGGTATGGGATGCCAGTCAATCAAAGTTCCTCTCCAGTATTTTCATCTGGTTCTACTGACGATTGGCCAGTACCCCTTTATGCTCCTAGTGGAAAGAGGCACTGTGACGGTGAAGTGTTTTACCCAAAAACAATGACCCAGCTAGGTTTCTAGAACAGACCTCTTCCTCTGTAGTCCAGCACAGTGACTGCAAGGTCACCCCAATGCTTTGAGCTGTTACTTATTCAGGCCTCAGTAGACAATATACTCCCAATGCTTCACATACATTTCATAATTAAAATTGTATAGTAAAAAATGGTTAAAGTTATGAAGGAGGTAGATGTCAGTTTACTAAGTACTTGTAGGCTTTTCTTTTCTGTATGATACTGAGTGAATATGGATTCAAATTGTGCAATACAAAACAGGTGTAAATTGTAAATTACAATATTCAATAACACAGAAGAGTTCTTTCTTAGTTTGATGGACCCTGTCAGAGATCACGGACATCTCTGTGGGCTTTCGGCACTCTCAAAGTTATTCCTTCAAAGTTCTTGGTTACAATGATCTGGCAGCCAAGACGAGACCTAAAAGAATGAGGAAGCAACATCATACGCCTTGAATAAATGATGTAAACGAAAAAAGGCAGTTAAGCCTGCATATGGCTACTGCTGTCCTACTGTTGCTGCATCCCACATATTTATGAGTACCTTATTCCACAAGGGAAAGATGATTCAAGAATATAATAGTGACTAATTGACACAACCATAATGAAATGGTTACAAATAATCATATTAATAACAATAACAACAATAACAACAACAACAATAATAATAATAATAATAATAATTATAATAAATTATAATAAATTATATATATTTATGAATAAAGGCTGATAATTTCGAAAGAAACTGTTTGGGGCTGCATCGGTGGGAGTAACAAAATAATTTGGATATATCAACAAAGTTGAAATGGTAAATTGGCCACCGTAACGATAACAAAAGCTGACGTTTCGAGTGTTAGCCCTTCGTCGGAGCGAAAATATATATATATATATAT